CATATAGCAGGTCACACATAGGTACTAAGTTAGTAACCGGGTGAGTCTTATCTGTAATAAATTAGATAGTTGTAAATATATATGTATATTTGTAACTGTAATACCTTAGAGTACTAATAAACAGTTAAGGTAAGACTGCCGAATTAAAAAAAAATAAAATAAAAATAAGTTGGTTTGTATCAGAATCATCATGATTTCTATTATGAGCTAATATATAGTCAAATTGTATTAGAATTATTGAAATTTTTATTATAAGTTGTAAAAAATTTTGTTATTTTGATAAGATATAGTATATAGTTAAGTTCAAGTTAATTTTATATCATAATTTTTGTAATATCTACTATAAGCTAGTGTTGTTCATTTTTGATGTTTAAGTAAAATTTGATGAACTAGATATTTTCAGACATTGTTTGATGTCTGAGTTCAAATTTTGTCTTGTTATCCAAACAATATCCAAGTAATATATCTTGAACTCAGATATTTTTGGACATGTTTGAGTTTGTAATATGAATTTATCACTTATATACTATATATACATAATATTCATTTATTATATTTATTAGTTTATTACATTATATATAAGTTATGGATTGACATCTCATACTACTATAATTTCTTACAACTTCATATAATGAACCGACTATCGATTATATTATAACTTCTACAACTCTACATAATGAACCTGACTATTATAATTCTCTAAAACCCACATAATGAATCTGACTACTAATTATATATAAGTTTCTACAACTTGTATAATACTATTTTTTTTTTTTTTTTCCTTTGATAACCTCGTACTAATTTATTAGAATATTTGTAATTTACAAAATTAACTATCTAATTTATGTATTAGGCCAATACCCGGCTGCTAAAAGTGTCCAAGTATAGTTATCACACTAATGTTTGCCAACTGGTTTTACATGTAGTGCTACCTATATTTAAAAACCTATTATAGCGTGGTACTCAGCTACCTAAAAAACTATTTACTTAATATAAAAACCTACTATAATCTAATTTTACTTCAACTACCAACTAGGTAGAAAAAAGTTTGAAATTTGTAACCACAATGTTTATTTTATCAGATTATATACTTCAACTATTTTTTTCTTAAAATTTTCCAAACATGATCTTCTCTTCTCTTTTTTCCTTACTACACCTGATTTCTCTAAACATTTTTTCCTTCTTTTATTTGAACAGTTTTTTGTTGATTGATTTTCTACTGGTCGAACCTTTATTGGCCCATTTTCTAATACTAAGTCTTCTGCTCATAGGTTCTTTTCTAGCACCTTGAACACATCTCTGGGTCTTTTTTCTCTTTTCATTGTTTTGTTTATACCATTACTTTTTTCCTATGCCGCAAATTTTTCACATCTTTCTCTTCAAATTATTCTATAAAAGCATTTTTGTACAACATAACAAAGTGCCTTGTAGTATTGCCAACTTACTTGTATAATACTATTATACTATAATAACAATTAAATGTTTTTAATAATTATTCATTTTATAGTGCAAGAAACTAAAAAAAAGAAAACCAAAAAAGTGAAATCTGAAGCAAATCTAAAAAGAAAAAAGATACAAGAAGAAAAAAAGCTAACGAAGAATCCAGTTTCTAATTCTAAAATTAATGAAGTAAAACCTAAAGTGAAATCTAAAAAGAAAAGTCAATAAAAGAAAAGCTAAAAAAAGAACAAAGAAAAGACCTATACTTATCTTATTTAATATCTAGTTCCCAATCCTGAAGTAAAACATAAAGGAAACAGAAGTGAAGCCTGAAGCGAAATCTAAAGTGAAAAAAAATTAAAAAAACAAAGAAAAAATCAGCATTTATCTAAAATATAAAAAAAAATCTAAAGTGAAACCTAAAATAAAAAAAAAATATAACAAAATAAAAAAGCTAAAAAACAAAGAAAAAACAGAATAGTGATATATGAAAAATGTATAATTTATTCCAACTACTATATTTTTATTAGGTAATAAAAATAATCAATTTTTCTAACTAAATACAAAAACCATTAGTTAATAGTACTTATTTTATTTTAAGCCCACTTTTTAATTCTAAAGCAAAACTTAAAAAAAGATAGCAAAAAAAAAAAAGACTAGTATATTATCTTAGTTTAACCAAATTTTGTAGTGCTAATGTTTTTTTTTTTATTTTGATTTATATCTTTAAAAGTGATAGTAGTTGAGATCAAGTTAATTAGCATCAGAATCATCATAATTTCTACTATGAGCTATAGTAAACCTTGCTGTTCTAATAATAATAGTTTGTAGTTAAGATAGTTTATATTAAAAATTATTGTAATTTCTATTATGAGTTGTACTTGCTACTCTGGTATCATGATATGTAGTAAGTTGCTATAAACTAAAAATCAAATTAGTTAGTACCGAAATTATCAATAAACCTTGCTATTCTAATAGCAACAGTTCATTACTCTGATAACATGATATGTGGTGAGTTGCTATAAAATATTCTGGTATATAATTTACTATTCCAGTAAGGCATAGTATGTATAGAGTACAAGTGGTGCACCACCAACCCTAAGTATGTAATTAAGATTAAGTATCAGAATTATTATAACTTCTACAGTCAACTCTCTGTAAGTGCACTGTGTACAGACCACAAAAAATCTTGCATTTAGAGAGGTATTGCATTTAGAGGGGTAAAAATCTATAAGTGTATATATAGTAGAGCCATAGCAAGACCATGTATTTAGAGAGGTCTTGCATTTATGGAGGTTGCATTTAGGAAGGTTTGACTATACTATGAGCTACAGTCATCTCGTTGTTTTAATGATAATAGTTTGTAGTTAAGTTAGAAATTATTATAATTTTTATCTTGAATTGTAAAAAAACTTACTCACCACTCTGGTACTATTATATATGATGAGTTGCTATAAAATATCCTGTTACAAAATTCATTATTCCAGTAAGATATATTATAGTTAAGATCAAGTTAGTTAGTGTCAGAATTATCATGATTTCAACCATGAGCTACAATAAACCTTGCTGCTCTAATAGCAATATATTATATTAGATTATTATAATTTCTATCATGAAGTTGTAAAAAAACTTATTCTCACTCCAGTAACATAATATATGGTAAGTTGTTGTAAAATATCCTGTTATAGAATTTACTATTCTAGTGAGATATAGTATATAGTTAAGAGCAAGTTAGTTAGTGTTAGAATTATCATAACATTTACTATGAACCTTGCTGCTTTGATAACAATAGTTTGTAGTTAAGTTAGTTTATATTAGAAATTATTGTAATTTCTATCATAAGTTGTAAAAAAAAACTTACTTGTTGCTCCAGTAATGTGATATGTAGTGAATACAGAATTCACTATTCCAGTGAGACATAATATGTATTAAGATCAAGTTAGCATCAGAATTATTATGATTTCTACTATGAACTACAGTAAACCTTGCTATTTTAATACTAACTGAAAAATTAAACTATAGAAATAGTATATAACAACGCGAAATTTCAAACCTAATTTAAGAAAAAACTGCCTTTGTATGTTGCAAGATCCCCACAGATTCTGAAACTACATATTCGAAAATATTTTTTTTGATAGTTAGCTTTAATTTTTATTTTAAATAAAATAATTACATAAGACACGTAATTGGAGCATTCGACATGTGACATAGATCCACATAGTTAGCAGCCAATCAGAGATGATTTTTGTCTTATAGTGTTTATCTCCTAGTGTTTAGCATATTATATACTAACATCTAACCTGTCGTATTGCTCCAGATTCAAATATAAAATATTTTTTAAAATCAAAGAAATCATTATAATATATATATAGCAAATGCTAATTTTAATGTTCCGTTGACCTCTGATTAAACCCAAGTATTATTCATTATTTTTACTATCCTATTTTTTGAATAAGACCCATGGTATACCTGTATTGATTTACTACTTTTAATTATAATATATCCCAAATATGTACCCGGTTTAACATCGATACGTACCGTATTATGTTCAAATTTGTGCAACAATAATAGGAATCATGTGTTATAGCAGCAGCCAATCAGATTGCAATTTTGTCTCATAGTGTTTATCTCATAGTGTTTGTCTCATATAGTGATTTAAGCTGTAAGGTTTTAGTCGGCTGGCTAAGCCAGCCGACTAAAATATTGGCTAATCGGCTGGCTAAATACCATACTTCCGGAAAATTTCGGAAAATTTAGCTTGTATTTTATGTTCATTTATTTTCCTTTTTGGAATTTACCGGAATCCTACTATATACTAAATCATATCATCTTTAGCCGCATTAGCCAGCCAATCATATTACATTGGCTGGCTCAGCCGGCTAAGCCAGCTTAGCCGCGGCTGCCATAGCCAGCTTAAATCACTAGTCTCATAACGTTTGTCTCCTTGTGTAACACAGCCATGCATTATATAATAGATTAGATTAATTAATTTGTTTGTTAGCTATCCCTATAAAATCTCAAATTTTGATTGGTTGTACCGAAGCATCCTTTTGCTGTGGGCTCCTCCATATACTGTATAATTAAAATATATAGTTTTTATTGGATATTTGATAAGATATCTACTGTATCTGTTATTATTGCACTATTACAGCATTGAAGATTCATACTGTATAAACATCTAATTAATAAGTTATGTCAATTTTTTTTAAATTATTTTTGTTTAATAATTCAGTGCTAAGTTTTGTGCAAAAAAACCACAGAAAAAAGTTCTATTATAATTGATTAGTAAATAAATAGTACTAGGTTCCATTGTTAGCAGCAACAACAGCCTCCGCCTCTTCCTCACGTTTTTTACCTAATTTTTTCATATATCCAGAATAAATAATATTAAATAAAATTAAACAACCCAACCAAGTATAAACAAAAATATTTGCAATATAAACAGCAGCATCAACCGTTGATGTATTATAAATAATTATAACACGAGCAGGAACTTCAAGAATTAAACCAAAACCCCAAACAGCTGTTAAGACAATAAATGTTCGTCGAAATAAAGCATAAGATCTCCAATACCTTTCCCAACGATCAGGAATAGGTTCGTCTTCCGTTAAACCTTTAAGATCACCTAATCCTAAATTTTTACTATTATAATATATTAAAGGTCTCATCTCAAATGAACCGACTTTTATCGGAATCAAAGTGATAACGAATACTAGACCGATTACACCAGTGATAAATGAATCTCGTAATAAATATAACTTTGGATCATCTTGATATATCGCTAATATAGAGCCAGCAATGAAACCTGCTAAACTAAGTAATCCTATGGCGTTGATTTGTTTGCGATGGATAAAATTAAGGATAACAGAAATAATGGGTGGGATACCTGATATGATTAATGCCCAAATAGTGGGTATATATTTTGAAAGAATAGCATAAAGAATAAGTGGTAAACCAACATCAACAAACAACATGAATAAGAAGAATAATAAAAGCTTTCTTTTGTCTTGTTGGTAAGAATTAATTTTGTGAGTTGAAGGTGGCGGTGACTCTGATGTAGTTGAGGGAGCAGATTGCTCTAATGCCAATGGAGAAGCAGAATCTCCCGATGTACGAATTACATGATTTTTGTTATCTATTTTGTTTGATTCTTTAAGATGAGACATCCTAAAAACAACTGAAGAATATAATTAAGAAGTTTTATTTGCAAATTATACACATTCAAGATAAGCTTAAATAATTTGAAATGCAGTGACATCACAACCTAAAAAGTATCCTATCCATCCGGCAAGTGCCTGGACTTAATCATCGATATTGCACAAGATTCCATTGTATTACTTACTTTGGAAAAATATTTGGAAGAATGGCCTATAAGAAACTCTTTTTAAAAAAATTATTAAAATTGTTTTTTTTTGATATGTAACACCAGAAAATTTCCGAGGAAACGTGAAACCTTGGTTTTACATACCAGATATGATTTACGCTATAATAACTATTATTAGCAAATAAACCCGGAAGTACGTACTGTCTCTGTATTTTAATTAATGCATCTGATCAGGAGAACACGTCCTAAAAATATCTCGAATATTTACAGCATTATAGAAATCGGTTTGATTGGATGTTTGACAAAATATTGTTACACTTTTATACAAAGTATATAGTTACATCGAAAATTTTATACGTAATCAGAACCATTACCATTTTTTTTATTTATATAAACGTTTCAGATCGAGTAGATTAAGTGTTTCACCAACTTTATTACGTAGAGTTATTCTTACAGCGCCAATATGTACGAAACTACGTAATATTTTATATTTTTCAGCTATTTAAAGGTATATATAATAATCCTTTTCGGATGTTCTATAGAATAGGTGGGCAAATTTCGCAACTCCCTATTAATGATTACTAATCATTAGCGGAGTTTATTTTTTATATTGCCCACCTATTCTATAGAACACCCGTTGTGTCGTTCTATTAATATGTCTTAGAAATACGTATAATACCACATAATGCTCATGGGGCGTTATTTTAAAATTACGACGATCTCACGTGCTTATGCACGGGGAAAAAAAAATTAAAATGACACAACAATATATATATATATATATAGTAACAAATAAAGGTGGTTGAAACTTAACAAAAGTTGTTCAAATTGAGACAAAAACATTAGAAACGTCGCAAAACCTTGAAGAGCGATCTGTTGGGCCATTTTCTATTATTTTATCATCATTAAAATCGACCTGATCTGAAGAACAAATTCTATTAAAGCTCGAAAGCAGATTTACTTAGTGCCAACTCTAGTTTTTGAGTCTCACGTATTAAAAGGGCCTATTTTGAGTAAATCGAATTTAAGTAATGTTATCCGACTGGCTTTACTTATTTGTGCCGGTAATACAAACCCTAAAAAGGAAACAACCAATAACAAAATTGATCCTATCAATAAATTCGAAAGTCTTCTAGCGATGACTTCTCAACAACTACCTGATTAAATTCAGTAAAACTTTTTTTATTTTAATTCTATAGTATTGTATGATATAATTAAAATAAAAAAAGTTTATTGAATTTGATTCAGTAGTCGTTGAGAAATCATCGCGAAAAGTTTTACAAAAACTTAAAATATCGGAAAAAAGAAATTTTTTTTTGAACTTTAAACGACGATTTCTTGACAAAATTTTTTTATTATAATTCCGTGAGTGGATCAAGTTTAATATAAGGGACCTTACTCTAAATTCAATTGATTAATAATCAATTTTAATCAATTTTATTAGTGGGGCTCCTTATACTGTATTAAACTTGATCCCGTGAGTTTATAGAATTAGAATAAAAAAATTTGACCGAATTGAACTGGTTGTCGAGAAATATTCATTAAAAGTAAAAAAAGAATTTGGCCGCAGCTTTTTTTTATAAACGTCTAAACTTTGAAGATTACTCAGCACTTCAAATTCGATCAAAATTTTTTTATTTTAATTCTATATGCTTATAGAATATGATTTCTCAACAACTACTGAACTGAATTCAATAAGCTTTTTTTTATTTTAATTATACATTACTATAGAATTAAAATAAAAAAATTTTACCGAATTTAATCAGTAAAAAAACGAATTTATTAATAATATCAATTTTGTTTATTGTTGTAGGTTTTATATTACCGGCACAAATAAGTAAAGCCCGTATCTTGACGGGCCACGGGTCAAAAATTATTTAACCCGAGTCAAGCGAGTCAATTAAATAAGCGAATAAATTCTGATGAAAATGAAAAAGAGAAATTTTTTGATACAAAATCCAAGATAAATAATTATGCTATTTTTTACTTGAGCTATTATAAAATTTAACTTATATATGTTTCTATAAAACTAAACCAGACCAGACTTTTATTAAGTTTAAGTCTGGTTTGATTCTTAAATTTTGATATTTTAAATTTTTAATTAAGTTTGAGTCTAGTTTTGGTTTGAGTTTGAAGTCTGCTAACTAATCTGAGTTCAAAAATATATATATACTTTTAGATGCTGAAAATTTTTCTTAGAGTACAAAGTTAGTAAAATTTTGAAATTTATAATATTTTATATAATTTTATTAATAAAAATATTAAAAATGCTATGATACACAACATTACAACATTTTACTAATTAGGCCATGCAAATAAAATTAATTGGTTCTCATAACATATTAAAGTTAACAAGCATATGAGACCTGGATGTTTTTGTACAAATATAAATGTTATATAAAATATACAGTATATAAAAATTGTAAAATAGGCAATTAGGCATTCACAAATACAGTAAGTAAAATCCAGATACACATACATATAAATGTATATATGTATATATACATTGATTTTAATAATATCCCTTAGATTGTCATGCAGGCAAATTTGTCTGCGAAATTTTTAAAGTTAATTTTCTGTATTATAGTAATACTAAATTTATACTGATTTACAAATTAAATATAATAACAGGTTTTTAAGTTTGTGTAACTTAAAATATGAGATTGTCGCGCAGGCAAATTTGCTTGTAAACTTTTTTAAAAAAATTCGATTAACAAGAACCAATCAAATTAAATAAAATCACTTGATTAAATAAATTTGATTAAATAAATTTAATTAAATAATAGATTATCGTAAATATAGATATCTAAAATGAATGAAACTTTACAAACCGAAAAAGAATTTTATTTTTGTTCTTTTAGTTGTAAACAAGATATTGATGAAATTGATAATTTAGATTATCTAATAGTAGTTATTGAAGAAAATTCACAATTAATAAATGAAAAAAATAAAAAAAATAATAATAAATCCAATGAAATATATAAAAAATCAGACGATTTTTTACCTTTTCAATACAAATATCCTTTACATAAAGCTTTACCTACTCTTCCTAAGGAATTTACTCTAATTCAAAAATCTGCATCATATTCAATTTTTAGTTTATTTTTTTCAGAACATCAGTTGCAAACTATTGTAATGAATACCAATATATATGCTGCTGTTCATAATGCAAAACATAGTACAAATCAAGTAGGTGAAGGTCAAAATTGGACTAATTTAACTCTTAATGAATTTAAAATCTGGTTAGCGCTTGTAATATATATGGAAGTATTTAAATTTCCGGCAATTACTGATTATTGGAAAAAAGATAGTAATTATCCATCTCATGATATCACTAAAACTATGTCATTATTCCAATTTCAACAAGTAAAATAAGTCTTTTTTTTTTTGTTTGTTTTTTTTTTTTAAAAAAATTTTATCATATATTTAAATTTTTAGATCAAATGTTTTTTACATCTTTCTGATTGTACCAAATTATCATTGAATTGGTTTGGAAAAGTAGAACCACTTGCATCACATATTAAAAATATATCAAAACAACTTTATTTGCCTGCATCAAACCTGTCATTAAACGAAATGATCGCAAGGTTTTCCGGATGCAGTGCACATACGTTTCGCATAAAAAATAAACCCACACCTGAAGGATATAAGATATTATCTTTATGTGATTCAGATTATACTTATACTTTTATGTTCTTGTCTCGTATTATGCCATCTAGTATAGAATTAATTCCAAATCTCAACAAAACTGGTTCCGAAGTATATCATCTAGTTAAACAATTACCACAAGGACATGCTTTAATATTTACATGGACAACTTTTTTTCAAGTATAAATTTATATCAATTTCTTTGTGAAAAGGATTTGGAGCCTGTGGAACTGTAAGAACAAATACTACAAGGTTTCCTGTAATTTTAAAACAAGAAAAAGAAAAAAAAAATTTGGAGTGGGATCACTTGATAGGAGTAGTAGTCGATGACGTATTAAACTTTTTATGGATTGACAATGGTCCCGTTACGATGCTTACAACCATACACAAAATTGATAGACAAGATTGTAAAATTAAAAGAAATCGTAGAAAGCTACGTGAAACCAGTACAAACTATAAAAATATTAGATCAGTATTTGGTGATGAAGTTCGAAAAGTTATATCTATTCCAGTTGCAGTTGATAATTATAATCACCATATGGGCGGAGTAGATATTGCAGACCAATTAAGAAGTTATTATTCAACTCAATTGGCTGTTTTTAGAGCATGGGTACCTTTATTCTTTTGGTTACTAGACACTGCTATTATAAATTCATATTTAATTTGTAAAAAATTAAATATAGCAGAAGAACATAAAGCATTTAGGCTTGCATTAATATGAGATTTAATTAAAGACTCTTTAAACCCTCTAAAAAGAACAACCCGAAGTGAAGACAACAATGTACAAATAATTGAAAAGATAACACCAATGTCAACAAAAAGTTTCGTGTTTCTGTAAACTTTGAATTGCCACTATGTAGATTAGTTGGTAATAGTTATTATCCTGAATACAGAGAAAGTGATAGAGGTGCATGTTTGTGGTGTAGATATCTTTTCAAAAAAAATAATGAAACATATCAACAAAATCCTCCACAATCGCAAATTTGGTGTAGCGAATATAGTGTACCGTTGTGTTGCAACAAAACTCGGCCAAATTGCTTTAAGGATTTTCATACCAGTTCAGAGTAATATGCTGAATCGCATGTTCGTTGGATATTGCTACGAAAAGGGAATCGGAGTCGAAAAGGACGTAAAGAAGTATTTGAATATTATAAAAACTCTGCAGAAATGGGTAATAATAAAGGAATAATTAATGTTGAATATTGCTACAATGAAGGATTCAAAGTCGAAAAAGACATAAAGAAGGCGTTCGAATATTATTCACAGTTTCAAAAAATTTACCTTGTTAATAATTTTTTGAAAGATCTGGGCACACAATAAAAAGAAAAAAAAATACATCGTATTACTACTTCAAATAATCGTATGATATACTTTATTTTATATTTTGATGTCTTTTTTTTTTTTTTTTTTGAAATATGAGTTTAAAATTTTACATCAGATAAATAACGATCCCATAATTTACATTATATTTTTAGATAAAAAAATTTTCTTAAATAAAAAGACCTATATGTTCTTCAGTAGTACATATACCCAAATTTTGATTAGTGATACTCAGAATTGACAACTTAAAATAGCCCGGTCATAAAAAAAAATAATCACTATTCTATTTTCAAACATCCTAAAAGCGATTTATAAGACTTTGTTGTAAACAGTATAAGAATTTTTGAATAAATAGGATCATCTGAATGTTTTTTTTTCATTCCCCAGGTGTTATTTACAATGGGAATGAACGTCATTTTTGAATTAAACCTATCATTTGCTTTCTAACTATTTTAAGCAAAGCCGGCTCTGACTGCCTTTGATTATTTATGAATTTACATCATTATCAATATGCAATTTATTATTAGTATATACCGGTAATTATAAAGAAGTACATCAGCAAATTTAATAGGGCGTAATATTGCACAATAATTTACGAAGCGTAAGAAAACCGTAATATTACGTAA